CCTATGCAAATTTCGTTATTATCTTCCATTCTCTAATGTCTTTAAATCCTCAAGATATAGGGCTCTGATACCATTTTTATTGGACCTAAAATGCAAAAATTCAAAAATAAAATTATTAATCAATATCAAATTTTTTCGGCTCAAGATAGGTGGAAAGAGTTGATGGTGAAGAAAAGTTAATTTTTATTGCAAGGGGCAAACAATTTTGTCGAATCCAAAATTAGAATTAAAGTTATGAGGACTAAAATAACTTATTTTGAAACTTTTTATATTAAGGGTATTTTAGGTAGTTTATATATTTGAATAGTGAAATGGGTTAGTTTGGGGTTAGTTTGGAATTTTAACTTTGAATTTGGGTCATTTGCTTGTATTTCCCTTTGTTTTGGGAACAGGAAGAAAGGAGTTGACAAATTGACCTTACGTTTATTTTCTGTTAGTCACTCACTTTTCATTTATTTCAATTTGATCATCTAATTCATATTTATATTACACTTGGTCATCCCATTTATATTAAAACTTTAGGCGCTGTGTGGCAAAGCTTTTAATAAAAAATATAATAGATTTTAATTAAAAAATAATGAAAGGTGTATTTAAAAAATTAATAAAAATTATAAAACTTTTAAAATGTACTGTTAAAATTGAAGTTCGTTCAATTAAAAAGTTGATAAAAGCCCAATTTGGAGCAAATAAAAATCAATTTTTTAGTAAATTTTAATATAAAAAATTATGAAATTTGTGAATGAAAAGTTGTGAATCATAGTATAAAATTTGTGATTAATATTAATTGTTGATTTTGATTTAAATATCTATCAAAATCTTAATTCATGTTAAATGGCAAAATTTTAGCCAAGTTTTATAAAAGGGTTAAATTCACTAGTGACGACCTAATTTTATATTTAGGCCCTGTTTGGTCTACATTATTTTTTTCATTCTCATACTTATACTCATTTTTAACCACACATTTTTCAATAAAATAATATTTTCCATCACATCAATAATTTTTCCTTCTTTTTCAACCATATATTCTCCATCACATCAACAATAAAAATGTATTCTTACCTTCAAAATGTGCACCAAACGGGGGCTTAGTGTACCATCTAACTTTATACTTAACATTACAACGACTATTCAATTTGATTTTATTTCATCATAATCATCCAATTTCATATAACGTTTTACTATGGTCATCCAATTTTATAGAACATTTCATCATGGCTATCCAACTTCTTTTCACCCTTTTTTACCAATTTTAAAATGGGTAAAACAATAACTTTGCATTATATGTATAAAATAAATTTAGAAAAAACAAAAATAAAATAACTAAAAACGTTACTTCAAAAAATAAAATAAAATAAGAACTTATTTTTAAAAATAATTTTTAAAATAAAATAAAACTTTTATTTTTGTTTATTTAAAATTTATTTTATATATTTAATGTAAATTTTTCATTTTGCTCATTTTAAAATTAATGAAAAGGGTTAAAAATGGTCGAGTGGTCATGGTGAAATATTATATGAAATTGGATGGTCATGATAACACTGGTATAAAAGTTGATGGTCGTGGTAAAATAAAATAAAATTGAATAGTCATAGTGACACTAAATATAAAGTTGGGTGATCATCGATGGATTTAACCCTTTATAAAACAAGCACTTGATTTACTTTTTTGCCTGTCTTAAAATGAGTGTTTGTTAGGGGAAATTGAAACCCCATATTTTTATGTATTTTTTATTGTATATAAGTACTTTTGGCTCCTTCAACTTTCAATCCATTATAATTAAAAAATTAAAAAACTATTACTTATATGCCTCAAAAATAAATGAACTTATTTATTTATGAAGAACGTAAATTCTTATATTTATTTGACGACTAATGCTATTTATCTTTATTAAGCCCTTGTATCGTGAAAATTAAAATTTATTTAAGTCAAAATCAAAAAATAATTTTAACCACACATCTCATCAACATTTATCAAAATCTACTAAAAATAATCCCTAACAAACACAATGTGTCATATTATCATGGACAATGTGATAGTTGACCCTCGAACAACATAGCCTATCGATAAAGTTCATTATGATTGAATAAATTAGCAAAAATATTTTGTATTGAATTATTTTATTTTATATTTATTTAGGATTGAAATTTTGATATTAAAGAGATATAAATGCACACTGCACCACATATAAAGCTCATTTGCTAATTAATAATGTTATTTTATTGTCAGCATTTGCAGTATTCATCATACGTGTCATTTTGCTATTTGAGACAAAAAATTAATGGCTTAAATAAAAAGTTGTTACATAGGATGCTGTGTAAAGCGTACTGTAAATGCGGACTACAAATGACATTATTCTTTGCTAATTTCTACATAAATGTCCCCAATTAATTTAATAATTTTCCATATTGCTCAGAAGTAAAAAGTGTTCGTTCAACCACTCCACCCTGGGTAAAAGTTAAATAACACAAATTAGATTCATTTGTTTGATGAAAAACCTAACACAAAACTTTTCATAATAGAGAGCCGGTGAAACTCTAATCCACACTCTTAGTTGAATAAGAACGAGACAAGACACTGGAAAAATCGAAGTCCAATCCAATTTCATATAAAAAATCGAAAACCATTAAAACTGGTCAGTTCGCCCTCGATTCGACCATTTTACCGTTGACCCTTTATCTTGTTGCGTCAAAGTTCAGGCAGTTTTTAGAACATGGATAGAGAGGAGGATAATATATTTATTGTCTAATACATCCATTTGCCAGCTTAAAAAATGGGGCCTGTCCCTAATAACTCCAATTGCCAGCATGTTATTTGCCTCAATCAAACAAAATGTCCCTACTGTACACCATAGGCAAACTAGTGTCCTGGCATTGATAGTGAATAAATGAATATTATGTCCCAGTTCCAATCTGGAATATGACTGTCTATGCCTTAGCTCACCATAAAGCAACCAAAGACTACAATTATTAACACAAGGATAGACAACTTGAATATGAACCACCTGTCCTAAGGGACCACTTAGCATAAACCTCCAAGGCTCCAAATATAAGTTATGCTAATAAATTCCGGGTACTTCTATTGTAACACGTTAGTTGGGGATAACTCTAATTCTATACTACATACACGTCCAGTGTTGTTTATACACTGGGCTGTAACACGACTGAGACACCTGTACCAAGTGATATTAAATAAATTCCGTGCACTTCTATCTTAACACGTCAGTTGGGGATAACTCTAATCCTATACTACGTATAGTGTTGTTTACACACTGGGCTGTAAGATGCACGATTGGTACACCTGTACCAAGTGAAGCTAGAAGTATATACGTTCCGTAGGTCTATCTAACACGTAAATCCTGTGCTCAGTGTTTATACTCTTGGCCATAAGATGCATGATTGAAACACTCGTACCAGGTGATGCTAAATACCTTTCTTGCACGTACATCTTAATATGTTAGGGGGGATAACTCCAATTCTAGCTCACAACCAGTGTTTATACATTGGGCCCTTAGATGCACGAGTGGGACAAGATTGCAACACACATCAAAGGTGTGTGTAAAAATACTTGGCCCACTTGTCATCCAACGGGACGATGTATAAATGCTGGACATAGGATAGAGGCTTTCTGATTAGTGGGGTCAGTGGTTTCTGAACAAAGAGTGCTTTGCTGTAATCTTTGATGGGCATTCTGCAAGTCACCTAATCAGTCTCTAAATAGATTGAATGCAACAGCCAAAAATAAAGATGCAAAAAATCTGAAATCACAGGGCATGGAGAAAATAAAAATTATAAAAAAAAAATATGGTTCTTCCAAATAAATTTACTGTTATTCTTTAAGAATGATAAATATGTTATTCATTTTTTACAAATGCTACTGACAACAACTAACTGATAAACAGTAGCAATTTCATGTACCAGAAAAATGAGAAGAAAAATAATAAATAAGCAGCAAAATTTTCCAGTAGTTCGAATAATATATCAGTCAATAAATTCAAAATGCTGTATTACCACCTTGTCGGATAATTATGTTCCTACTACTATCCCCTTCACTAGTATCAGAGGTACCTTCGCCACTTCGTTTATCGACCAACTTTGGGCCAGTCTGCTTATCTTCTCGATGGGAAATGGAAGGTTCTCTGCCAACTTGTCGTTCCTGCAATTTGTAGAACACGTCAGTGACTGAAAAGAGAGATATATTTATGTAAATTTGAGGTTGCAGGTTGCTCAGAGAAAAGATAATTCTAGCATACATCACGAGAAGTCAAGTCCTCAGCCTCCAGCATGTGTATTATGTGTCCCATTTTGGGCCTCTTCTGAGCATCAGGATCAACACATCGAAGGGCAACCAAAATAACACGTTTTAGTGCTTTTGATGCAGGCTTTTCAGGCAACTTAGGATCCACTACTTCCTCAGATTTCCGGTTTCCAACCATCATCTTCAACCACTCAACCAGATTGACCTGCCATTGTTTGTAATCGCGATTGATACAAATGTTCAAGGTACACAATCAACAAGGATGACTAAAATTTAACACACTAAGACTAACCTCTCCCTGTGGCCGACTGTAATCAACAGGAGATCTCCCAGTAATTATCTCCATTATAAATATCCCGAAGCTATAAATATCACTCTTCTCATTGAGCATACCAGTGCAAGCATATTCTGGGGCTACATAACTAGTAAAACAATGAAGCTTGATCAATTACCCAACACTTTCTATAGAACGTTAATTAGCTACGAGGAAATGAGGCAAAATAGTTCTGTTTATGCAATGAAGTGAACTAACCCAAACGTTCCCATCACTCGAGTTGTCACGTAACTGCTTTCCGAATTCAAAAGTTTAGCAAGCCCAAAATCTGATAACTTAGCATTCCACTGACGGTCGAGCAGTATGTTGCTTGCTTTGATGTCGCGGTGAACCACCTTGGGTTCCAGACCCTCATGGAGATAGGCCAAACTGGAACAATGAAAACACAAAATTAAGTAACAAGTATGCCATGAACGAGAATGAAATCACAAAGGTATCGAGTTAGCATACCCCTTTGCAGTTCCTAATATTATGTTCACACGAATCTCCCATGTCAAAGGGCTGACTTCGCCTACATCTCCATGCAGCCATTGGTCCAAATTTCCATTATCCACATATTCATAGACAAGCATCCTACACAGAAAAACAGGTATACAAGGACAAAAGAAAAAACTCAACTTCTTGACACTTGAAACAAAATCAAAAGTAACATTCGAAGAGACAAATATCAATACCTGTAAGCTCCTTCAACGCAGTAACCTAGCAACCGTACAAGATTTTTGTGTCTGACACGTCCAATCGCTTCAACCTCCACCTTAAACTCTTTCTCGGCTTGGCCCCTGAAAAATGTGTCAGTGGCATGAGTTGAAGCATATCAGTAACAAGAGAATAATACATTCCTGCATTGGAAAAACAAATCTTCCAGATTTTGAGTCAAAATGTGAAAAGTTTCCCATAGCATGAAGCAAGGAATAGAGAGGCATGTACATAACATTTAGTGCCTAAAAGTATCTAAGCTCAATACTGTCATATTTCAACAACCTGGCATATGAACGAACCAAGTCTGACCTACATTCCATAAAATTAAATTCTAACATAAAATCAATTGCAAAATTAAAATTTAAACTTTGTTTGAGATGAAAAGAAGGGGAAAGGAAATAGCAGCACTGATTCTACCTTTTCAAAAAGAACAAACCCAAAAACGGGCAGAATTAACTTTCTACATGTTTAAGGACTTCGTAGAAAATATTAAAAGAGGGAAAAAGGAAAAACATCCATGATCCAAGTGAACTTAGTAACAACACCCACCACATAATGTGAGTGCAAACCTTATTTAGAAAATTTTCATCACATAACCATAAATCATATCCATACCAAAGCAATCAAATAAACATATCACCCAAAGAACTCTCATAACATACCGACAATGTGCATTGCAATGAATCAAGCATCTTAAAACTATAGCAAATTTAGCAATTTCCATACCTATTGTTTAACAAATTCTTTATGCCGACCTTGGTGTTATCAGCCAACACACCATAATACACAATGCCATACCCACCTTCACCAATCACATTCTCATCGGCTAAACCATTGGTAGCTGCCTCAAGCTCTCTCAAAGTGTACCACCTTCCCCACCCCAAATGTGACACCTCTGGTAATGCCCCACTGCCTCCAAATGACCCGGTGTCTGCCCCACTTGTGGTTCGACTCTCGCCACTCGATGCACCCCTATCAGAAAACACTACCCTATGCTCCACCTTCCCCATATCTATCTGTATCTCCGGTACCACCTGAAATATTCAAGAAGAAAACAAAACAACATCAAAAATAAAATATTAAAATTGATAAAGAGTTTCTGCATAATCCATATTATGTCAAGCATGATTAAAATAATTCTCATATGATAATGACCTTTCACAATTTAAAATGGAAATAAAATTTACTCGAAGCAGTGCTCAAATTCACATAAAGCAATAAATTCCACAGCAGCTTTTATCATGGCATACTAGATTTACCAGTTATCCAGTAATACAAAGTACATATACTGCAGCAAATTGCCCAAATAAAATTTCCGTTGCTCTGACAGCATTAAAATTCAATGTACCATCAACAAATTCATTATAAAACTAAATAAATTAATCTAATTAGTTCCGGTGAAAATGAGATCTTGAAATTTTAGATGCAGTCTAAACGTGTATATAAATCGTACCTGAGGAACGATGGGGCGATGATCAGGGGCCGCGTCATGGACGATCTCCTGGATTTCCTTGGAGATGATGGGGGTGTGCTCGCCGGCGCCGGAGAGCTTCGCTGGGCGGTGGAGTTTATGCTTGCTGCTGCGGCGGCGCAAGGCGGTAATGCAAAGTGAAAAAAGAAAAAGGATGAGGACTATAACTGCTCCGACGACTATTCCAATGACCGCCCATAGATGCAACCCAAAGATCGATGTCCTCTTAGAGAGTTCTCTGTTCACAAACGTCGCATCGTACACTGACATCTTCTCACTGTATACACTGTATATGTAGATGTCTAATACTGTATGTGCGAACTCGTGAGTGACTGTTCGAGTTTTATGTGCGTGTAACTGTGTGAATCGTGAAATTAAGCAGTATTAGTGAAAAACACCGTGCCATGCAAAGAGAATTTGGCATTGAATTGTGGAAATTGTTTCTGTAAATGTTTATGAGAGATCGAATGATTCGTGGATTTGCTGGAATTGTTTTGGCCGGAATATTGAATTCCAGCGAGTTTACCGGTGAGCGGAAAATGGAGTGTGAGAGAGAGTAGAGAGAGAGAGAGAGAGAGGAATCTAGTGCCTCTGTGTGCTCCACTGTTTGCTCTGGATTATTTTGTGTATTTTATAATTTTATATAAGAATAAAATCAATTATTTAATTAATTATCTCTGAATTAAGCCCCGTTTGGCCCCTATTATCCCCCAAAAAAAAAAAAATATTGTTCTCTCTTATTTTCAATCACATGATCTTCCATAAAATAATATTACACTTAAATTAAAAAAAAAATCTTTTTTTTTAACTACACATTCTCAACAAAATACTATTCCAAAAATTAAGATGAGCCCTATATTTTAGTAAAAGTAAAAGTAACATTCCACCCTACTTTTTAGTAAAGATCTAGCGTCTCGTCGAGCAAATTTGCACTGCACACGTCAGGTAAAACAACGTCGTTTCTTTCATTTTAAAATCGTTTCTCCATGAATAATGAGAACTAGTAGAAGAATCGAACGTTTTGCAACGTAATTTAGCTCCAGTTTGTTAAAGATATCTTGACATTTCTTTCTTTTTAAAACTGTCTGTCCATGAATAACGTGAAAATCGAAAAATGAAACACTTGTAAAACAAATTTTAAGGTTTGCTCCCGAAAAATTAAGCATATTAACTTTAATTAAAAAAACACATATAATTGATAACAAATTAATTAATTAAATTTTGCACTTGCTTCATTTTGAAACTTCTATCTATGAAAAATGCGAAATAATCAAAAGAATTGAATGATATAATAAATATCAGTGTTCATCTATCTATCAATTAATTGATATGACATGTCATCGGTACTTAGAATCATTCATGCTAATGGTTGACATAATATCACAAGACATTTCATTATTGAACTGTTTTAAACACGGTCAATTTTTTCATCCAATCACCTTTCGCCATGTCATCTTCTGTCATTGTATCTGGCCAGAATCTTATATTTGATAACAGAATTACGTTAAAGTCTAGCTTGAAATTATTATTATCATTATTATTTTTTTAAAAAGACACATTGAATTCACTCAACGAATAAAATTTTTGACTTTTTTCCTTTCTTCCGATAATATCATAAACTCAACGGTTCGGTTGTTTTGGGCACACTTCCAACGGTCGGGTGGCGACAAGTTATAGAAGATTGACACGTGTAATCTCAGTACGTGGACGGCTCTTATCAGATGTAAAGTGGGTCCACTTGATTCGGTGTAACCAATAAAAAATCAATTGGAATCTGTCAATAGCATAAAGATATGGCTGAGATTAGGAAAATTAATTATATAATTAGATCAAGAATAAGTATGTGGTATTATTGGAATCTCCTCTACAAAAGTTAATTTATTTTAAACAATTAGTGGGTATTATGTGCCTATCTAATCAA